TTGTTTGATTTTTTTCTTGATGATTTGCTTGAGTTCTTTGTAGATTCTGGTTATCAGCCCTTTATCAGATGTATAACATGTGGATATTTTATCCTACTCTGTTGGTTGTCTATTTGCCTTGTTGATTGTTCCCTTGGCTATATAGAAGCTTTTTAACTTAATTAAGTCTCATTTATTTATTTTTATTGTTGTTGTGATTGCCATTGGAATAGTCTTCATGGATTCTTTGCCTAGGCCCATATCTAGAAGAGTTTTTCCAACCTCTTCTTCTAGAATTATGGTTTCATGTCTTAGATTTAAGTCTGTTATCCATCTTGAATTAAATGTTGTGAGTGGTGAGAGATATGGATCCTGTTTCAATCTTCTACACATGGTGGCTATCCAATTTTCCCAGCACCATTTATTGAATACAAATTTTTCCCCCAGTGTATATTGCTGTCAAATTTGTCAAGGGTCATATGGCAATATGTGGATGGTTTTATTTCTGGGTTCTCTTTTCTGTTCCATTGGTCTATGTCTCTATTTTTGTGCCGGTGCAATGCTGTTTTGGCCACTATAACCTTGTAGTATAGCTTAAAGTATGGTAAAATGATACCTCCAGATTTGTGCCTTTTGCTCAAGGTTGCTTTGGCTATTTGGGTTGTTTTTTAGTTCCTAATGAAGCATAGAATTATTGTTTTTAGATCTGCAAAAAAATGACAAGTTGGAGAATGGTGGCTGACAATAGACATCAGATGCAAGAGTATCTCAGTAAGAAGAACTTTTAGATGAAAGAGAAGAAAATGAACAAATATACAAAGAGAGATAGGTGTGGGATCTGAGAGAAAGGTGCCAGAATCTTCAGGAGACTCCATGGGAAGATGTTGTAGAACAGAACAGGAAGGAGCAAGGTATCAGCAGAGATCAACCCCTGGGGGGCTTCGAGTCCAGTGAGAAGGGTAGGTGGAGCAGTTTGTTTCTCTCTCCCTCACATCTCTGACAGTTGCTGAGTTCTTGAGGTGTTGTAGAGACTTTCTGCTTACATGAGCCCAGAGGCTGCTGCCACTAGTAATCAAGGAGCTTCTCAAAGACATAGAACCAGTCTCTCAGCCCTCTGGGATACTTCCCATATCCACAGACCTTAGCCAGAACAGTAGTTGCCATATTACTGCTCTACCTACCATGCACTTTTGTCCTAACCAGGGGGCTTGAACTCTTCAGGTTTCATCTTTCTCACTCCCTTAAAGACATTTCTAACTCTGGTCCAGACTGCAGGAGCCAGAGGGTGATCCGCATGACTCCAGAGCCTGGACAGTCTGGGCGGGTGGCCTCCTGGAGTGAAGGATGGATAAGGTCAGAGAGCTTTCTTCCATTCAGATTCTTTTGCTCCCCTTCCCCTCCTCATCCATGGCTGCCAAGAGACAATTGAGCCATCACACTGAGGCTTCCACAGAGAGTGGGGCTCAGATCTTTCCTCTTGGGGTCCTACAGCAGACTGAGGGGTACTCAAACCATGAGCTACCTGCTCTCTGCCACCCCCCAGTGCTGCTTGCCCAGTGACTTCATCAGAATAGGGCATGCCCCAAGGGAGAGAGACATTGAACCTGCTTGGTCACCCTGTGGGCAACTCAGGACCAACACACTTCTTCCTGGCATGATCAGGGATTGATCACTGGGGATGCAGGGATGGGCATGCAGGCCAGATCCCATACCCTCAGGTCTCAATCTTTTTGCTTGGTGGCAAGGAGGGGAGATTTGTGAATTAGCCTTGGGATGTGAGGAAGCTGGTGTGGTCAGATCGAGGGGAGACAGTAATATGAGTCCTAACTGCAGTGTGCTCATAGAGCACCCCTGCCCCCAGAGCAGGGCTGTGTTCTCAACTCAGGCAGGGATCCTGGGCAGGGAACCTCCTAGCCTGCATCACAGTCCTAGGGGCATCTCAGCTGGCTTGAGCTCCTCCCGGCAGATGCTTGGAGAAAACTGCATGGCAGGAGAGGATGGACAGGAGTGAGGACTGCTCCTTACTGTAAGGGTGTGAATCCCAGACAGCCCTGCCTCCACAAACAGACTTGATGATTGGGTAAGACAACTTCAGCCCCTCCTTGGCAGCTTTGCCAAGAAGCCTGGAGTAAATCTTTGACCCCTGCTAAAATAAATACCTTACCAGATTTTGTGGAACCTAAGGGCAAGCTCATATAACCCACCCCTGCCCAGCCTCACTTCTCTATCTGTCTCTGCTGTAGAAGAGAATAAGGACACACCTGGAAGTTTCTGGGCACCACCTACCTCCTGGGTCATCCAAGTGCTTCTCCTGAGGGACAAGAACCAGTCATAAGACCCCAAAACAACATTGCAGCTTGTTCCTTCTGGCAAGTGCCACCTACTGCCAAGGAGGTCAATTTGCATGAGACCTTCACAGCATTTACGGACTCAATCATATAGGGCATGGTTGATTCTCAACCACAAGGACAACCTACTGCCTCAGAAATTAAATTGGGCATACCATTACAACTCACACTGTTAAGAAGACCACAGGGCTAGGGAAAGAGAAGGAATTTCAAAGACCTCCATCCTCACTTATCAAAGAGAGGCAGAGAATCTGCCCACTCACATAGCTCACCACTCCTACAGCTTACAGACAACTAGCAACTCAGAAAACCACACCAAGGATATCTATAACCAAGGCAACCATCCAGAACCTAGATCACAATCAAAGCACTCACAAGCAAAGCCAAAGGTTCTTACCTAACATGTGCTAGAGACACACCCATACAAGTGAGGCAAGAGGAAAAAGCCCTATCTAAACAAAAGAAAATCCAAAAATAAGAAGCAACATCTTCTCCAGATGAGAAGGAATCAGTGAAAGAACTCTGGAAGTATGAAGAATCAAAGTGAAACGTCACCCCCAAAAGGGAACACCAGCTCTATAGCGATGGAAACCAAACAAAATCAAAATATTGAAATAACGGATAAAGAATTCCAAAGATGGATTAGCTCAATGAAATACAAGAGAAAATGGAAAACCAACACAAAATAACCACAAAAAAATTCAGGAAATAAATGAAAAATTAACTAAAGAAATAGAATTATTTAGAAAAATCAAATAGAATTCAGGAAATGAAAAATTCATTCACAGAAATACAAAACACAGTGAAAAGTCTTAAGGATAGACAAGACCAGGCAGAAGAAAGAATCTCAGAGCTTGAAGACAACACCTTTGAGTTTACTATTTTTAAAACTGATTTATAAATCTACTAAATTGTACATTAATTTATAATTTAAGAATTTATTGATTGGAAACTATAAGCGCTGATTGCAATTCCTGGGTTTTAAAAACTTTATCATGTTTTAATAATGAATAAAACGATAATGATATTTTATTATTATTTATTTATTATTAAAACATAATTTCTTTATGATGTTAAAGAAAACCTAGGTTAAAGATCAAAATCACTTGTCTGAGATTAACAATGACTGTCTATGTAACTATATACATATATTCCTTAATTTTTTTAGGGTCCTTTTCCTCTGGGAGATTCATCAGGTACCAATGCCTCTTTTATCTTTAATGTCTTATGAGTCAATAAAATTTGTTATAAAAAATCATTATCAGTTAGTGAAAAATTATCATGATTTTTAAAGATTTCATTTGTTGAGATATATCAGCTACCCTGAGCATTTTGACATGTGCAGGATAAATATTTTATAATCAAAATAAATTGTACTATTTCACAGGTGTATTGGTGTGCTGAGGATATCTGGGCCAGCTTTCCTCCTGGGTTCTGGTCATGAGACCAGCTTCCCTCATTCTCTGTTAGGCCACAATCCTCCTTTTTATTTCTTTGACTTCAGCTTAACACAGGAGTACTTGAATGCAAAGGAAAGGAAAATCTAGACTTTCTTTTACATACTATAGCTTGAATCTAAAATAAAGAAAAAAAAATTTCTTAGAGTATTTGAAATCCCACTTATATGCCTATTAAATTTAAAAATCAGTATTGTTAATATTAATTACAAGTAAAAAACTCATGACATTTTGTTCTCAACAAAAAAGTAATTTTAACTACTAAACATGAATCTGGCTATTGTAGTGCTCTGTTTTAAACCAACTAATGATTCCAACTGGCCGTGACAGACTCTAGTGTTACTTTGCTAAGTGCTAAAAGAAATAGTTTATTTTAGGACATGATCACTATAAGGTTGGCCAAAACTGCATATCAAGCAAAATTTTAGAAATCAGTAAGTTCAAACTCAGTAAGTTCAGTGAGAAAAGAGACAAACAAAAATTAATTAGGATAGATTTTTTTTGTAAACAAAAACTTTAAATATTTTAAAATCTTCCTAGTGCAAACAGAAGAGTCAGAGAATGGATTGAGTAACTCATTTGTCACATGTCAACCTTAGGTATAAATGAAAGAATAAACTGTAATTATTTCATAGGTATGCTATTAGTCCTTAAAATATTTCTGAGAGAATAAAAGAACATGGAAGCTACAATATTCCCCCTCTTTTAGTAGAAAATAACCAAAGTACCAATAAAATGATTGCCTTTCCCAAAACTTTACTTGCCCTTTTTGAACTAAGACTGAGAAAAACAAATATGCAAATAAATCCAAATTAATAACTAAATTGGGGGCATGTGAAGAATTTCGCAGTTAAAATTAGATTATCTTACAATAAATTTTAATAAAAATTTTCATTTTGAAAAATAAGAATCCTTATCGTGGTCTTGGGGAAATGCCTACGACTCTTGTTAAAGAAAAAAAAAAAAAAGTCACATTGAAAATGAAACCAAAGCAATAAGGTAATATAGTAGATGACAAGAACAAAAGCAGTTAATTCTTCAGTTTTCCACCTCTAGCAGGCAGGCTAATCAGTTGTAATTAAGAGGCAAAGTAGCAGTCTAATAAACAGCACTTGTCACCAGTTGTCATCTTAGTGATCAATTCACACCTTCATCACAATGAGGGGACCCTTCAAGTACTCTAATAACCTGGCTCCTTGGAGCAGCACAGGATTAGGAAATGGATAATGCATTGTTAAGGCTCTAATGAAGTAGAGGGTAAGGAGCTAAACCTCTCAGCTGAGGAGGTAGGGGGTTGAAGGGGGTGGAGAGGCTCGTAGGAGTAAACTTTAATTAAGGTTTTGGTTGACTTACATTAGTTTCTTATTTTTGAACACGTAAAGTTAATTTAAGACTATTCTTCCAATATAAAGTTTCCTCCCTTTCCTCATTTTTCCTTTTCTGATATTCATAGAAAAATCTTTTTGGTCAATACATACCACAAGCTTTTTTTCTCTTTGACAAATTACATTTAGAAGCTTATTTTCATTCATTTTAACTTCTCTCATTTGCTTTTTAAATATTTGTTTTCTCCTAATCACTTAAATACAAATTATAAGGTAATTATAAATTATACCTTTTAAATTTGCCTTATATTTAAATTTAGCTTATAAATTATAAGGTAAATGTCAAGCTTTTCCCTTTCACCACTTAGCCTAGTTTTGTGTATGAACATTAAACAATAATAAAAGCAGTCACAATCTGTACATTACATCATTTGCTGATTCTAAGAGGCAACCGGGCCTTATATAAGTAGAAGAAAATACAAGCAATTTTCACATGTGCTTTATAGGCTCAGCCAAAGCAACCGTTAAGTTCTTCTGCAGCATTTGCTAGTTTGTAAAGGTTACCCTTTTAATGACCAATATAAATGCACCTTTAATGTTTTGAGCATGTCTTTGTCCAACACTGGCAAGTTAAAAAATGAATTAATATGATGGGCACTAAGTGTCTTCTGCCCAGGTACACATAAATCTATGTGGATTGCTTATACCATTTTTCCTTGCTAATGTGGCAGGATGTATTATTATTAAATCAGGCTACAAGGAATGGGGCCAATCCGCCAGTCTAATCCTTGGCTTTGGGCTGCATCATGTAAACATGGTACTAGACTAGAGAAACTCTACATTGTTTTAAAAATTAATGTCATTGTCTCCTTTGGTTATATACTCCAATAGTCTATAATTCTCCACCTGTCATCAATCTGATAGCGGGGCTTATTCATACATATAAAGTTGTTATTACTATCTACCGCAGCTCAGCAGAATACATTATTTGTTTGACTGGATCTAAACCAATGCAGCTGCAAATGTAAGCTCATGAACTCAGGATTTGTTTGCTTTTTTTGTTGTTTTAAACAAAAACACTCTTCATCATGGCCCTACTTTTAAAAACTTTGCTATACAAAATCTTTTAACTAGAGGATTTGAGATATATAACAGCTTATGAAAGATTTTAGAACTCTAAGACTTTGGGAGCCTCCTAATATTTGGCAGTAAAGATGCTAAAATTCATCTTTTTCCTTTGAAAGTCCATCCTTATTATCCAAGTGGAGATTAAACTACCCTACTGTAGAAATAGGAGTGATGCCTTATATTTCTGATTCAGCTTCTCACTGAAGTGACTGCAATAGATTGAAGGCAGAGATGGATAGATACACTACTGCAGTTGTTTTTAAATTTGAACAAAATTTGAAAAAAATTAAAAGAATTAAGAACATTACAATCTGTACTTCAGAAACCAAAAGTCATTAATTTCCATTATTCTCCAAAACGTCAGTTTATCCAGTGGGCTGTGACAGAATCCGTGTATCCATTATCCATCCCATTAGGGCTAATGAGACCTCATTTCTTTTTCTCCCTAAAATCAAATCCAAGGGCCAAGTGGTAGTGTTTTGATGAGATTCTCTTTTCAATTTGATTGTTTAAAAAGTCTGTATGGAGTAAGAATATTTCCCACCACCCAGGCGCCCCCTTTATTCTTTTCTGCAGAGCCCTGCTCAAGGAGCGCCGTACATGGGCAGTATTAAAAGAACAAGGTCAACGTTTCACCTGCTTTTATTTATTTATTTTTCTTTTGTGCTCAACAGATTGTTGTCCTCACAATGCCACACTTGAGGAACACGAGCCAGCCTGCCTCCTCTTAAGATGTCTTGTTGTGAAATATTAGAATAGCAAAAGGCTAATCTATGCATCCATGGGGCAGGGGGGACCGTTTCAGCCCACATTTCACACACTGCAGTCATCAATTCATTGGCTTCGAAAAAAAAAAAAGAAAAAGAAAAAGAAAGAAGCCTGCTCTCCCCTTGTCCAGCTGCAGCGGGCAGGAGCGGGAACATATGCCTGTCTGAAAGAGGACGAGCGGGGAGGCTTCTCAGGAGAAGGCACACAAAGAAAGCCAATCTCCTCCACAAAGCGTGGAATGACTTAAACACTCTATTGTATTAAATATGAATGAGTCCTCATTGTGGAGCGCAGTGTGTGGGGACCCGTGGTGTCCTCCCATTAGCCACATGATTAACCAGATTACACGGGAAGCCGCTAAGGTAAATAAGGCCAGCCTTCTGTCACTTCCTCCCCCGGGCCTGGCCAACAAGGGGCCGAAGAGCTGGCCCCTTTGTAGTCAACTGGGTGGAAAGAAGAAATAACCATGAATGTCATGCTTGGTAATTAAAAAAGGAGAGGGAGACAGACAGAGAGAGAGCAAGAGAGAGAAAGAAAGTTGTCTCCAGGGGCCATCTATGAGAAACAGTGTGAAAACATCTTTCTGATCAACTAACATGTCAGCATTGTTCCCTTTGACCAGACAGGACTAATGTAACCCTCCCCTAAACAGGCTCCTGTATTCCCTTTTGTGGTCCGGGAGACAAAAACCCACAAAACATGAATTAAAGCTGCCTGACTCTGCTCATTAGGGGTGAGAGTGAGTCATTCTGTGCCTACTAATCTGCCTGCCTGTTAACCCGCTTCCATCTTTCTCCACGTGTGTCTCCTCCCTCCTCCACTCTGCACTCCTGCTCGTTCTTGTGAACAGATAACCGCCCGCAGTTAATTGGTTTATGGAAATTGCACCAAAGTTACAATTCTCGTAGCAGCTTGAGCTTTGAGAAAATGAGAGGAAACGGGAGCCACTTCAAATTGTACCAACGAGAGAAGCGTATATTATCTGAATTCTGACCTGGCAATTCAAGTATCTGATGTGTAAAATGCCTTGTGAAGTATGCTTTAGCTTATTGATATAATATAAAAGTAAAAAACTTTTATTGGTCTTATATATAAAGTGATATCTTTCTGGAGACTAGTAATTACATTAAGATAAATATTAATATAAGCCAAGATGTCTGTTAGCGGGGGAAAAAACAGATGCCAATGTGTGAAAAAACTTCATAGACATAGTGACTGAACACCAAAATATATTGGTAAAGTATAAATTAATAAAAAATAAAGACAGTTTATTTTAACAAACTTTAGAAATTTAAAATTAAAGCCTATTTTAAATAAGTAGGAAGACTAGGTGTTAACATATCTCAGTAAGCATAAACCCATTGCAGAAACTTTTAAACATAGCCATTCATTTTTTTAAATATAATTTTTGTCTGCCTCAGAGTTCTTTTATGATTGAAAATATGGAAATAATTAGTTTTATTTTAAAATGTGTTTATTAGTGTTGTCTCTTCTCTAAAAAGTTTATAGCAACTATGCAAGATGTGAGTCCATGTAGAATAAAAACCAAAAAAAGGTTTCTAAGCTTCCTTTGAGAGCAACATAAAATATACAAATAATTTGAAGGACTCTTTGGAGTGTTTTTAAAATAGATACAATGATCTTAATTATAAGATATAATCACTTATCTTCTATAATGCCTTTTTTTCTAACCATATTAAAAAAATTGTGGTGTAAAGGGAAAGTTGTACCAAATGATAATAGCAAAATTTCACTTTGAGAAAAAATTTCTAATATTTTAACAATTCAGGAAAATGTCAAATAAGTAAAATAAGAAAGAAATTTAACAATTAAATAATAGTTTTGTTATTAATTGATTAATTCATTGATTCAAGAAGTTTTTGCCTGTTCCCTTTCTCCCTGCATTTCCTATACTAGGAGAGGGAATGTCAATGATTCAAGAAATACAGGTTTTGTTTTAGGGGAAGGGAGTCTTTTAAGGACAGAGACCACATTAGATAAGAGATTTTCCTGGGTTATTTAGAGTTTAACTTCTTTACATGAAAAACCATTATTTAACTAAATTTGATGGTAACATTTGTAAACTACTCATTTTTCCTTATCAAAGTTAAGCAATCGCAACTTAAATTGCTTTTGGATCTACACCATTTTGAATTTCAACCATTAGGCTGTCCTGTCAGGGCAATGCCTACCTGTGGTAGATGGTGTGGTCCCAATAAAAATCTTATTCACCTTGTTTTTCACCAACTTACCTAGACTCCTCAGCCATACTGGTGAGTATCTCTTTAACATGATGCAATGATTTCATTTGAGGCAGGAGTCTAAACTGGTTATGGTCTTGAAAGCTAAATTGTCCCTTCCCTTCTAAAATACACCTTGCCCAGTTCTGCTTTTGCTATTATTCTCCTTTATATTCTTCTCTCTAATCTGCTTTCCATTGTGTTGCTTCTTTCTAATCTTGAAAAATTTTTTCACATTAACTGACATTGTATGACAAATATCTTAACCTCTTTTTCAGCTAGTTAGTGAGCCAACTGATCCCAACTGTGACATTAGCATTTTTGTGATTCTTGCTGACTTTCTCAACATATGAGGCTACCCAGTGGTCTGTGTTTTCTCTACAAAGTGTGGCTTGAAAAAAATCTGAAATTTGAGGAATTCTAGAATGTAAGTTTCCAGAAAAGTAATGCTTTCTCAGAGTGAGGCGAAAAAAATAGACCACCAGATGACTCGGTTGTCAGTAAGTATCTTAAAATTTGAGATGCTTGTTACCTCAGCTATTGCCTTTGATTTCTGTTGCTCCTGGAAAGGAACCTAAATGATAAATGGTTCCAGTTATCGTTTTTTCTATCACTGTATGAGAAAGAGATGAAAATTCCTCTTTCTTGGTTTGTGCACAGTTATTTTAAATAAGGTTTGAATAATGAATGAGATGTTTTCAATCTCAAATTTCATATGTTCATTTAGATGTGCAGAAATAAAAAAAATTGGAATGATAAACTATGATATTTCTATATGTTGTTCATATTTAATACACTTTTTGATTTCCAGTTATATCACCAATGGCATAAAAATTCATGTGTTATTAAAACATTTGTCAATCCTTATGGAACCTTTCATTCTCTAAGGTTCTGAGCACTTGTTTTATTTATTTATAGCTAGGATTCAAGTCATTTATCAGATAGAGAATTCAGCATTAAAATTACCTTAATTTCTTCTTGGTAAACAATGACAAACAAGTTTTCATTCAGCAAATTATGTTAAAGACCTGAAGTTAAGCATAATGATCCTAGCTTTCTGGATTATCTGGCTTCAACTCTTCAAGGCTAGTCTAGGCAAATTGATGAGCTGGATTTTCTCTGGAGTGAGAGCATGAAAATTGTATATTTTTTATATATCCCTCTTTTCAGGTGGTTAATGCAGAAAAATCTTATTTGAATCTTAGTTTCCAAAGATGAGAATAATGGTACATCTCAGGTTATACACTCCGTTGTGAAGAATGAACAGTACCTCAATATGTTCATGGGGACTTGGTATGAAATTTATAATAGCCAAATTTATATTAGTATCAAGAACTTAACATAGTAACTCCTTTTTGTGTAGTAATATTCAAGTTCAGTGAATATTGTTCCAATTCTGTAATATGTAAAATCTTTAGGTAGGATAATAAAGGAATTTAATTAAAAATTTCATAGAAAATTTAGTTCTATGGCTGAATAGTCAATTCTTCAGGAGCATTTTATTTTAATAACTTAAATAATTTAATTTCACTTAAGCCTTAGACTTAATTCATTGGTTAGATTTTTTTTTTTAAGTATAAAAACTACTCTCAGGAAGTCCTTAACTCAGTATTTCTTTTCTTTGAAAGACCTTGGTACTAGCTGACATGCTGATATTAGGTTTTTTTTATACTGACATTTTTATTCCTACCACTTTTTTTCCAGAATATTCTTGGGGTACAAATGTTTTGCTTACATGGATTGCTTTTGTACTGCTTGAGACAAAGATAAGTGTGCCCATCACACATATAATGTACACTGTACCCATTAGCTATGATTTCACACATTACCTCTTCTGCACTCCCACCTGTTGATTTCCCATTGAGTTTTAGTTCCTACTGTGCACATGAGTGCTATTCAGTTAGTTCCAATTTAATAGTCAGTACATGTGGTGCTTGTTTTTCCATTCTTGTGATACTTGACTTAGGAGAATAGTCTCCAGTTACATCCAGGTTGTTATAATAAATACTAATCCATTTTTTATGGCTGAGTAGTACTCCACGGTATACATATACTGCATTTAGTTAATCAACATGTGGATTGATGGATAATTGGGTTGATTCTACATCTTTGCAATTGTGAATTGTGCTTCAATAAACATTTGAGTACAAGTGTCTTTTTGATAAAATGACTTTTTCCTTTGGGTAAAAACCCAGTAGTGGGAATGCTAGATCAAATGGTAGATCTCCTTTTAGTTCTTTGAGGAATGTCCATACTATTTTCCATACCGGCTGTAATAGTTTGCAGTACCACCAACAGTATGTAAGTGTTCCTTTCTCTCCACATCCATTCCAACATCTATTGTTTTGGGACTTTTTAATAAAGCCATACTCACTGGGGTTAGGTGATAGTATATCTCATTGTGCTTTTTATTTGCACTTTTCTGATGATTAGTGATGTTGAGCATTTTTAAAATATGTTTATTAGCCATTTGTCTATCTTCTTTTGAAAAGGTTCTGTTCATGCCTTTTGCCCACTTTTTAATGGGGTTGTTTGATTTTTTTCTTGCTTCCTTGCTTAAGTTCTTTGTAGATTTTGGTTATTGGCCCTTTATCTGATATATAGCATGCAGAAATTTTCTCTCATTTTGTAGGCTGTCTGCTCACACTGTTGATTGTTTCCTTGAATATGCGGAAACTTTTTAATTTAATCAGGTCTTATTTCTTTATTTTTGTTGTTGCTACAATTGTCCTTGGGGTCTTTCTCATAAATTCTTTGCTAGGCCAATATCCAGACAAATTTTTCCAACATTTGCTTCTGGAATTCTTATGGTTTCATGTCTTAGGCTGAAGTCTTTTATCCATCTTGAATTAATTTTAGTGAGTTGTGAGAGATATGGATTCTGTTTTGATCTTCTACAAGTGGCTATCCATTACTCCCAGCACTATTTACTGAATAGGGATTCTTTTCTCCAGTATATACTATTGTTTGCTTTGTCAAGGATCAGATGGCAACATGTGAATAGTTTCATATCAGCGTTCTCCATTCTGTTTCTTTGGTCTATATGTCTACGTTTGTACCATTCCCATGCTGTTTTGGTTACTATAGTCTTGTAGGATAGCTTAAAGTCTGAGAAAGTGATGCCTAAATGCATGAGTGCTGAAGCCCTGGACTGGGATCTTTCTGCCCTTATCCAGTAGTGCATTTTTTCTGAGGAGAGGGATGGGCACTCACCCCAAATCGCCACTCCTAGGACCCCCACCATACGCTTCCATCTATTTAGTACATGTGTACTCCCTCATCAATTGAGTCTAGCTCTCAAATCTCTCCCTGGTCTGTGTGTCTGACTCTCCTAGTGTGCATCTCCAGGAAATGCTGGCAGGAAGGGAATTCCAAGACTGTGCAACCCTGTTCTACTACCAGTCCTCAAAGGAAAAGGAGTGGGCTGGACTATCTGTGGGCCCCTCAGCCTGGAACACATGCTTGTTGGGGACAAATGGCTGCTTGTGAA